TATCTACCTTTCTATCTATCTATCTGTCTATCTGTCTATCTATCTATCTATCTATCTAATTATCAATCTATCTTTTTATATCTTTATCCACCAATGAATCTGAAATGGACTTGTAACAATCTGCATATCCCTTTAAGGATTTGTCGTTCTATGTAACCAACCAGTTTTACATCTATCGCCCGATGTATATATTTATCGTTGTACCTATCTATCTTTGTATGTATCTATCTCTCTTTTTATTTATGCATCCACCTGTTTATCTGCGTTTCTGTCTACATTTGTTGCCTTTTTATCGGGGTCATTTCTAGCTGCATCTCTTCCTCTCTATGAGAGAGTTGTTAAGCACAGGATAATTTTCATTGAAATCAGTATTAATTCGTTTGCCACATTTGGGTTTACTAGTCTACACAANTCTACACAATTGGACCCCATGCGCGACCATAAACTCCATGGATCTTCCCCGTCCTGACAATCGACGGACCTTGAGACTAGTCAGTTTTCCAGAGTAGCTCTGAGAGAATGCGAATAAAGTATTTACAGTTGACCTCTCTCCAATAATGACATCACGTACCGAGATCGGTAACTCAGGGTACGTAATGTCAGATAAGTCAGTCGGTTTAACTGACAAGCTTTTGAAGTTCCCTGGAGTATTTTGGATAACTTTATAGAAGTTTGCTACCGAAATAACCGATAACGCTCATTAACGGATTTTTCAGTTTGCGTTCTATGAATCTATGCACGAGACTTTTAATACGGCTTGCTTTTACCTCACTCTGCTACTATCGTTTCATGACTGTTTTGCAGGTTCAATGTTAAAGGTCTGCTTATTTTTTTAGTGCTATGAAAGCGGTTGAATGCGTTGGAATTTCGAAGTTTTAGAAGAAATCGAGGGATGACACAATGGTACCATTGACAACGTCGACTTTCGGGTAACATCACAACCTGATCTTTTGACTAATCTAATAGTGGGTTGAGATCAAATGCGAATTCTTCTGGTTTTTGCGAACAACCAGCCGCCAAGAATGTCGATTTGGTCACATATGAGTGCCGAAACGACACGCGCATAAGTCCAAGTGAGCGAACGTTACGTGACTGGGCGAACACAAAAATAAAACAATGGTAAATTGATGCAAAAATCCGTGTATTTTGGTTAAAAGAAATACAAAGGTGCATGTGAACGATTATCGAGTTTGTGGCTTTTTGTAACTGGTTGTGAGTTATAACGCGCAAACATCATTGTATTAAATGAGGTGTGTGGGGTGGGGTGGGGGCAGAGAAAAAAAGTGACTCTTCCCAGATTATGTTCGCATCAGTACGTGTCCCATCACTGATCCAAACGCAATGACATGGCCAAATGCGTGTGTGCTCAGTTGGTAACTTCAGCGACCTGAGTAACCGATGG